TTGCGTTTTTACTCCTTATCTTTGGAAAACTGGGGGCGGGGGAGGCGGGTGTTTTCCAGCCTGTGTCCTGGGGGGGCTGGGCCTGGCGGAGCACACGAAGCAATTGCTGATGTGTGTTTGGGGGGGAACCCCCCCCACTGTTCCTGCTTAGGGTGGCCCCCAACCTGGCGCTCTGCCAGGGGGAGGGGCCAGAGCTCCGCTCTGCAGGTGCAGGGGTGGGAAGGGGACAAGGTTGAGCCGGCGAGACCTCGCTCCACCGTCCTTCTGCGCAGCGACGGGCCCTTTAAGAAGCTCTGTGACGTCACCCGCCGGACCTCTCCTCCTCCTCCTCCCCGCTCTGACCGCACGCGGCGGCTTTGCAGCCGGGAGTCTGAGCCGAGGGCGGAGCGTGCGGAACGCTGCCGGCTCGGGGGCGGGGCGTGCGGAACGCTGAGACTTCCCCAGCTGCCGGCCGGCCGGGAGAGAGAGAGGCTGGGGGCTTCCCTTAAAGGGGCCGCGCTGGCTACGGAGTGAGCAGGTACGGGCCGGGCTCGAGTGGGGAAGGGGGGGGCTGGCGGCCCCCGTGCAACAGGGCTGCTCTCGGGGTCACAGAGGAAGGTGTGTGCAGGGGCTGGCTCTGGAGCAGCAACTTCTGCATCCGGGCAGGGCCTCTCCACCCTTAGCCCTGCAAAGCTGGGGGTACCCCCTTTACTATAGCCCTGGGGTGGGGAACCACAGGGGTACCCTCTTTACTATAGCCCCAGCGTGGGGATCCATGGGTACCCCCTCTACTATAGCCCCAGTGTGGGGATCTGCTTTACTGTAGCTCTGGCGTGGGGATCCCTGGGGATCCCCTTTACTATAGCCCCAGCGTGGGGATCTGCAGGGATCTGCTTTACTGTAGCTCTGGGTGGGGATCCCTGGGGATCCCCTTTACTATAGCCCCGGGGTAGGGATCCCCAGGTACATGCTTTACTATATCCCTGGCGTGGGGATTCGTGGGTACCCGCTTTATAGCCCTGGGTACCTGCACCTGCAGCTGTGGATGTAGTTTTCTGTGGCTCAGTTTTGCGGATACGGCTAAAAACTTTTTATCGGCGGTGCAGGGCTCTATCCATCCTGGCCTTGAGGCCACCGCAAAAGGCAGCGTCTCCTTCTCCCTTCAGGGGAAGCACAGAGCCTGCACCCCCTTCAAAGCCTCTGCAGTGCCAGGGTTTGGACTGTATCCAAGGCCTTCCTGGGGCGTTTGAAAGCATGATGTGCAACCCGGCCCCCGGGACTCACCTGCACTTGACACGCAGCGGTGGTGGAATTAAAGCCCCTTCTCCCCAAACTCTCGCGGAAGCAGCTCTGTGCACCCCAGGGCTATAAAAGGCCGGGCGTCCCTCCCAGAGAGAAACTCCCTTGTCACTGTTCTATGGAAAGCTGCCACCCACACGCTGGGGAAGACTCCTCTGTGCAATTGTTTGCGCCGGTGCAAAGCGGGTGCCGACATGACGGCCTCTGAATGGTCCTGGGTTTGCCCTGGGCTCAGGGGGGCGGATCGGACCCTGCTGTGGAGCTCTGATTCCATCAGAGCAGCCGGGACCCCGTGCTTTGCTGTGTAATCGGCCCTTCCCGGGAGCTGCGTGAGCAGACTTGGCCAGAGCTTTCTTGGCTTGGTTCTTTCTTCCGGATAAAACCCATCTGGATGAAAATCTTCCCTGAAGCATCCTGCTCATCTGGGCTTTTCCTATGGGGATTGCCTGGGGAAGAGAGTTTTTCCTCCAACCTACAGCTTGCACATCGTTGCAGGGGGATGGCAGTGATGTTACAGCCCTTTGGTGGTTGGGGTGGAAGGATTCACGCCTCAGCCACAGCCCATCCCAACACACATTCACTTCTGGTTTCCCCTTTTGATTGGTTCAAACGCTCTCACGGTTTGGGGTTTCTCTTGCTTTATTCGTCAGCTTTCCCCCGGGGCTGACGGGTCCATAACCTCCTCCCTGGCAAGAGTCCTGAAAGAACGCCCTTTGGCATGACTGAAAAGGCTGATTAAGCAAAGGAACAAATTACCTAGGGGGGTTGTGGACTCTTGTTCCCTGTAGATTTTTAAGACCACCACTCAGGGATGGTCTAGCACAGGGCTACCCAACTTTGAAACCCCCGGGGGCCACAGTGATACTCACAGCACATGCTGAGGGCCGCAGCTTAAGTGTGGTTGCATAGACATGCAAATAGATATGCAAATAGCTTCTTTCACACAGCACTCCCAGCACCTTCTCCCTGGGGACTAGAAACGCCGACACCCTGTTCCAGCCCGCCCGTCCGCTTGCGTCTTTCAGTGCTCACCCCGTCTGGGAGAGGCCTCGGTGTCCTTGAGCGCGTTCCCAATGGAGGTCCTGTTCAAAGGGCCGCGTGTTGAGCCCCGTGTAAACGCAAACCGCCCCGCGGGCCGCAGGCCACACGTGGACCCCGGGCCGTGTGTTGAGTAGCTCTGACTTAGTATAATTGGCAGGATGATTAATAATTGCATCAGTCACACACTGAACTGGCCGACTTCATTGAATGGCACTTCTGCTGCTGCGTCTTTTCGCACCTTTCTTTGACGTTTACATCAGACCGGGTCACATTCAGGTCCACGCGCGCACACTCAGGCTGCTTGAGTCATTAGGCATTTTACAGATTTTGAATGATCTCTCTTTTTAATTTTAAAAGTTGCATGCATTTTCGGGATGACAGAGAGCCAGGTTTGGTTCCTTCCTGAGCCAGATTTGGCTCGAGGGCCATAGGTGGCAGACCCCTGCCCTGGTGGACAGATCAGGCCAGGAACTGGCTGATTCCTAGTGCAGGGGTGGGGGCCGGGCGTGTGTGTGTGTCAGGGTTCTTTCCCTCCAGGCCCGCCGCCTAGGACTGCATGGGGCGTGGCATCCTAGGCAGCAGACAGGGAGCTGGAATGGGAGTCTGGTCTCCTAGCCTCCATTGTCCGCTCTGCTGTTGCTTCACTGTGCCCCTTGGCCAAATCAGTTCCCTCTTTGGGCCTCAGTTTCCCCATCTGTAAAATGGGGGTGGGGCAGGGGCGAGCGCAAAGCCTGATAGGAATGCCTGGGGCCCTGAGCAGGGAAATGCTTCAGCCAGGCCTGGCCTTAGTTGTCAGGCTCTGCGATGTGATTAGAAGGATTTCCTGGCAACCGCATAATCCTGCCTTGCTGCAAGGCCTGCTGATCCCCGTGGGCAAGGGCAGCAGCCGGCTAAGCCCCAGCAGCAGGGTGCCGCAGGTTGCTCGCTCCGTGGCTCAGCGTGGGGGAGCGCTGGGTGCGCCCCGGCCTGACCCCGTCCTGGAGCAGATTCTGAGCTAGCCACGGGGAGCAGCTCAGAGCTGAGAGGTGGGGGAGAAAACTTGCCTGTGAAGCCAGTGGCCACTGGAATGTAGCAACGGCCCAAGCTCCAGCTCCTGGTAGCTCTTCAGTGGACGTTTTGCCAGGAGGGGAGGAGAGGGGGAAGGTAGGTGCGTTTGCAGCGGCCTTGGTTACATTGCCCTAGGCTGGCCCTGGCGTGAAATGATCCAGCTCCTGGGTACGTAGAATCACAGGGGACCATCTCATCTGACCCTCCTTCGGTTGTTTTAACCCGTGGGTGGGAATCCTTTAACTATTCAGAGAGGAGCTGGCTTTCTTGTATGGCTCTGTCTGTCTGTCTGTCCCTGGTGCGTATGCATGTACGTACGTCCTGGCCAAATCCAGCTCCAAATTCATCTCTTCTGCCCCCCTCCCCAAGCTCCAAGCAAGCCCCCTGGCAAGGTTACTGGAATGCTGCACTTGGCTCCCTGAGCTTAACCGTTGCTGTGGGTTGCTGGCTTCTGCTGGCGGGGTGGGGGCGGGGAGCTGCCTTTTCAAGGTGGGTGAAATTCTCTCTGCACAAAGTGCTACTTGGCGAGGTGCCTGGTGCCGGACCTGCAGCCTGGTATGAAAGAGACTTTCTGGAGGCCGGCGGCTGTAGCTCGTGGAGGGTGTGTCTGTTCGGTTGCACAGTGTGCCGTGAAATGTGCAGTTGTCGGGGTTTCTTGGAGTCAGTCGGTGGAATGTCATCAGTGCATTTTGTCTGCCCCCCCACCCCCCCCCCGTGCCTGAAGCCGGGTGGGGGAGGGGGCAGAATCGGGTGAGTTGCGAACCAAATACGCTTTCCCGCTGACTTAGCTGCGTGGGCTGCAACGATCGCCCAGGAAATACTCGCAATGGACTGAGTGTGCCAGCCCGGGCCGGGGGCGTAGGAGCTTGGTGCATCAGGGAGGCAGGAGCCGCCGCCAGGGTTTTGAAAGAGCCGGCTGGGGAGCATTCAGGAGAGACAGAGCACGGGCCAGGCCGCCCGCTTCGGGCGGGGTTGAGATGCCGAGGCCCTTTCGTGAAGCTCTTTCCAATGCCAAGAGATCGTTTTTGAGATGAGGCAACCACGTTTGCACTCAGTATTCAAGATATGGATGTGCCCTGGATTCACAGAGAGGCAATTAGATGGGCTCTATCCCTTGTTTAACGATTCCCAGCATTCGGTTTGCTTTTCTGACTGCCGCACGTGGAGGGGCTGTTTTCCCACCGTGACTCCAAGGTCCCTCTGGAGTGGGACCCCTGGGTTAGTCCCCCCCCTTTATCCGGAGGGCTGGGATAGGTGAAAGCAGCCTGGGTTAGTGCCACGCTCCCCGAGATTGGCGCTCACCAGCGCTGGGATTTCCAGCCGCCATCCGGGCAGGGTCTGTCCCTAGGACAGTAACGCCCTGCCTGGCTAGAGCCGCACGCAGCGTGGTCCCGACCCAGCGGCTGGGGGTTGTGCAGTTGGTTTAGCAGGGGGCTTCCCAGCCCAGAGGAGCCCGGGGCTGTGAGATGGGACTGGCCATGGGCCGGGGGAGGACTCGCTCTGTGCGCTCTCTCTGGCGGCTGGAGGTCATTGCGTGGCCTGGATAAACTGCAGGGCTGTTTGTGAGCAGGGAAGGGGGGTTCCTGGCCTGGCTCAGCCTTGTGGCCGAGGCCTCCTGAACTCGCTGGGATCCAAGCACTGAGCCCCCTGCCTGGGGCCGGCACGACTCCAGGGTCTCTCTAGCTGCTGAGCGGCTGCTCATGGCACGTGGGGCCCCTGTTCTCCCTTCCCCGGCCCTGCAGTTCCTGCTGTGAGTGCGCTGGGCTGGGCCGGACTCCGGCGCCCTGTGCATGGGGCCTGACGGGGGCTGCAGCCCCTGGTGGGAGCCTGGGGAGCAGCTGGGGGCAGAGGGCGAAAGGGGGTGTGGGAGGCCTGACTCCCGCCCCCCATAAGCGTGGAGCCTTGTGTTGGCCGGCAGTGATGTCCCAGCCAAGATAGGGAGCTCTGACTCCCCTGGCTGGGCCACCCGGGCCCCTGATAAAAGCCTGCAGCCTTGAGCTGGCAGAGCCGTCCTGCCCCTGGCTGGGCGGGGGAGCTCCCAGCTGCCCTGCTCCCCAGGGGACAGTGGGGGGAAGGGGTCAGGAACTGGGGGGATCAGGGCTGGTGCCCAGCCGGGCGTCTGAAAGGCCCCGAGGGAGCAGCCCTGCGAGGGAGCTGGGCCCGTTCCCAGGCGGGAGCCTCATAGAATCATAGGACTGGAAGGGACCTCGAGAGGTCATCGAGTCCAGCCCCCTGCCCTCAAGGCAGGATCAAGCTCCGTCTACACCATCCCTGACAGATGTCTATCTAACCTGTTCTTAAATATCTCCAGAGAGGGAGATTCCACCACCTCCCTTGGCAATTTATTCCAATATTTGACCACCCTGACAGTTAGGAATTTTTTCCTAATGTCCAATCTAAACCTCCCCTGCTGCACTTTAAGCCCATTACTCCATGTCCTGTCCTCAGAAACCAAGAGGAACAAATTTTCACCTTCCTCCTTGTGACACCCTTTTAGATATTTGAAAACCACTATCATGTCCCCCCTTAATCTTCTTTTTTCCAAACTAAACAAGCCCAGTTCATGAAGCCTGGCTTCATAGGCTTCTCTAGACCTTTAATCATTCTTGTCACTCTTCTCTGTACCCTTTCCAATTTCTCCACATCTTTCTTGAAATGTGGCGCCCAGAACTGGACACAGTACTCCAGCTGAGGCCTAACTAGTGCAGAATAGAGCGGCAGAATGACTTCACGAGTTTTGCTTACAACACACCTGTTGATACAACCTAAAATCATATTTGCTTTTTTTGCAACAGCATCACACTGTTGACTCATATTCAACTTGTGGTCCACTATGACCCCTAGATCCCTTTCCGCCATGCTCCTTCCTAGACAGTCGCTTCCCATCTTGTATGTATGGAACTGATTGTTCCTTCCTAAGTGGAGCACTCTGCATTTCTCCTTATTAAACCTCATCCTGTTTACCTCTGACCATTTCTCTAACTTGCTAAGGTCATTTTGAATTATGTCCCTATCCTCCAAAGAAGTTGCAACCCCACCCAGTTTGGTATCATCTGCAAACTTAATAAGAGTACTCTCTATCCCAATATCTACATCATTGATGAAGATATTGAACAGTACGGGTCCTACCACTTAGCTCCCAGGCCTCTTTGTGACTTAAACCTGGCTTGGCCGTCCCTGAGCCTCCCTCTGCAAAGGATGCCCCCTTTGTTCCCAGAGCTCCCTCCCAGGGGCTGTGCCCTGGGGGCGGGGGCTGCCCGCACTCCCGCCCTGTGCCCTACAGCGCCCCCTGCTGGGCGAGCCTGGGACTGGGTTACCCAGGAGCTCCCTCCACCGCCCGCACTCCCGCCCCCTGCCCTACAGCGCCCCCTGCTGGGCGAGCCTGGGACTGGGTTACCCAGGAGCTCCCTCCACTGCCCGCACTCCCGCCCTGTGCCCTACAGCGCCCCCTGCTGGGCGAGCCTGGGACTGGGTTACCCAGGAGCTCCCTCCACCGCCCGCACTCCTGCCCCCTGCCCTACAGCGCCCCCCGCTGGGCATGGCTGGGACTGGAGTAGCTGTCCAGAGATCATACTGTTCCCCACAGCACCTCCTACAGGGAGAGGATGGGATGGGGGAGCTACAAGTGCCTCAGTGAATCTTGCTGGCTGAGAAGCCCCTTGGGTATCAGGGGACTCGCACTGCAGCTGATCCTCCACCCATGGTTTCCCCCAGCATTGACGAGAGAGCCGGAGGCCTTAGCATGGTGGCGGCCCTGCTTCCTTCTGCACCATGGGCTTTGGGACCCAGCTGGGGCTGCTGCTGTGGAAGAACTTCACCTATCGGCGCAGGCAGACCGTGAGTTGGCTGGGGAGAGCTGGCAGCTCAGAGCCCTCCAGCCCCCGGGCGGGATCTGAGCAAGGGGGAAACTCTTCCGCTCAGCGGCCAGCCGGAGGCCTTAGCATGGTGGCGGCCCTGCTTCCTTCTGCACCATGGGCTTTGGGACCCAGCTGGGGCTGCTGCTGTGGAAGAACTTCACCTATCGGCGCAGGCAGACCGTGAGTTGGCTGGGGAGAGCTGGCAGCTCAGAGCCCTCCAGCCCCCGGGCGGGATCTGAGCAAGGGGGAAACTCTTCCGCTCAGCGGCCGCCCTTGGTGGAGATTGGTGGGAATGAGCCGCTGCCCGGCGTGAGCTTGGATAGAAAACAGCTGGCTTCCCCCTTCATTTCCAAGGGGATCCCTCTCCGCCTGCCATCAGCCTCCCTCCTCTCCCTGCCCCCCGTCCTACATCCCCCGTCTCCTGAGCTTCCCCGGAGCTGGAGGAGAAAGGGCGATCGCCGCAGCTCCTGAACTTGCCCACGTGAGCAGGAGACCAGGAGTCTGGCGCAAGGGCACTGGTGCCTGGGTAACCCGGTCCCAGCACAGGCCTCCTAAAGAGCCACCCATCCTGGACTGGAGCCTATCCCCCGTGTGCTCAGACTGGGCGCTCCACATCTGCGTGGCCCCCGGGGGCGCAGGCTGGCCCCCCCGCGTCTGCTCCCATCCCTGCCCTGCGGTTCCGTGTGAATCCCCCGACCCCTCCGGGCTTGTCTGTGTCTCTCGCCAGGTGCAACTCGCCATTGAGCTGCTGTGGCCCCTCTTCCTCTTCTTCATCCTGATCTCGGTGCGGCAGTCGCACCCCCCCTTCGAGCAGCATGAGTGTAAGTGCCGCCCCGGCGCGAGGGGAGGGGCTTCTCGGGGCACCCGCAAACGAAACGCGCTCCGCGTTGGGAGCTAGGGGCTCTGCCCCCCGGCAGGGCTTGGCACAGTGGGCAGGGCCTCCCTAAAGAGGCTTCTCAGGCTGGGGCGAGCTGGGTTTGCAGAGCAGCCTGGAGGTGCCGGACGCGGCTCCCACCCCAGCCAGGTCCAGTGCTGCTGCCTTTTTGCTTTTGTGAGTGCCAACGTCAGCCCGGAGCAGTGGGGAGAGGGGACAGCCAGGTCTCTGCCCGGCTGCCGGAGGTTCCGCTCCCGCTAGGCTGGATCTGACCTTCCTCTGCTGCCCTCCATCTCCTTGTCGGTTCCCTGCAGGCCACTTCCCCAACAAGGCCTTGCCCTCGGCCGGGACCCTGTCGTGGATTCAGGGCATCATCTGTAACATGCACAATCCCTGCTTCCGGTACCCCACGGCCGGCGAGACGCCCGGCGTGGTGGGCAACTTCAACCGGTCCATGTGAGTCGCAGCCTGGCCTGCTCCCTCCCTGGCTTCTGACCGTGGGCCGGCGGGAGGATGGGCGGCTGCTTCTGTGTGTTGCTGGAAGATCTGTTGTCACAGGCGGCGCTGCCACGGCTCACCACAAGATGGGAGCTGGTCCCCAGTCACACCCAGGATGGGTGGGTTGGGGCTTTGCTCAGCCGAGACGTCTCCTCCCCTGCCGCCCCCGGCTGGTAACTAGTTGCTGGCCCCAGGGATCTGTCCCCAAATGCCTGGCCAGGTGGCCACCACGGAGGGCGCCACCTTGATCCAAGCGCAGGTGGAGTCTGTGGAAACTACAGCTCCCAGCATGCAATGCTCCGTATTGTTTCAAAGGCATGCAAGTGTGGCCTAGGACCGCTCTAATTCCCACCATGCAATGCAGCTGCTGCTTTGAAGGGCATGGAGGGGCCGCCCAAGGTGGGTAGAACTCCCAGCATGCAGTGCTCCTGGAGGGGGGTGGGCTTTGGCTGGGAGGAGGCATGCTGGGACATGTAGTCTTTTTGGGCAGGGCCAGTGGCTCCAAAGGGCAGCCACTGTGGGGCCAGGGGAGCCAGCGCCCTGCCCCACTCCCATGCCATGCGGTTGCAGCCTGCACAGGTTCCCTCCCCGGGCCCAGAGCATTTCCCAGGAGCCTGAAGGGAGCAGTCGCTGCTCAGAGGGGGGCGCCGGGAGCAGGCGTTCTGCGGTGACGAGCTCTCAGCTGCGCATCTCCCTGTCCCTGCAGCATCTCCCGCCTGTTTGCTGATGCCCGGAAGGTGCTGCTCCAGGCCACCAGCAAGCAGACCCTGAGCCGCTGGGGCCAGCTCCTGCCTGCCTTGCCCCGGCTCCGGGAGAGCGGAGCGCCAT